ACCACAGTGAGGTGAGTGCTACAGGTAGAATAGGCCTTCTTCTTCCCTGTCCCAGCATGCATGCGGTAGACAGCAAGGAAAACACGACCATAAGAACACACTATACCAATGAATGGAAGCACAAGAAAGAGGACTGTGCTCACAAATACTGTGTACTCGTAGACCCATGTGTCCATGCAGGCCAGGGTCAACATGGCAGGAACATCACAGAAGAAATGGTTGATGGCCCTGGATCGGCAGTAAGGAATGTGAAGTGCATACCCCGTGTGAGCACAGGAGTTAATGGAGCCCAGCACCCAAGATCCTATTATCATCAGCACACACACTCTTTTGTTCATGCGTATAGCATAGTGGAGAGGAAAGCAAATAGCCACATAGCGGTCATAGGCCATACAAGCCAGCAAAAGGGTCTCCGCACCCCCAAAAGTCAAGAAGAGGAAGATCTGAAACCCACACCCAATGAAGGAGATGTGCTTATTACCCAACATGAAGTCAGACACCATTTTAGGGACAATGGTAGAGATGTAATTTAAGTCAATGAGAGAAAGCTGACTGAGTAAGAAATACATGGGTGTGTGGAGATGGGAATCCAGGAGGATGAGGAGGATCATGGACAGGTTGCCAATCCAAGCTGTCAGGAAGATGAGAACAATGAGAATGAAGAGAAACATACCTGTTTGCGATGATGGGAACAATCCTAATAAAATGAAACCTGTAAATGTGTGATTATAACTATCCATCTGGTGTTCATTTAGAGTTTCTTAGAAGCATAGGCAGCAATAAGTTACATAAAAGACAATAAAATAATTCAATTCATGATTTTCACCAGACTTTGGTTGTAACTGCTAAGGAAAGAATAGTGTACTTTGACTCATCTTCTAGCTCATACATAAATATGGAGTAAAACAACATATATGAAGAAAATATTTTACTGAAACCCGAGGGCTTATAAGCAACATATTTCCACAACGACCTTACTAGAAAATGGATATTTTTGTTCCTAACAAATTGAGATGTCATGAACATGAGACTTCATAGTACATTTTTGGAACCAATTTAAATGCCTAACATACAGGTCCATAATTGAATACATTTTCTTTCCAATCAGGATGACTCTTTTCTGCCATATACTGGCCCTAAGATACATGCAAAGATGCAACAGTAAACAAGATCATTCAAAACTACATTTCTTTCTTATGAACATCCTTCATATTAATAAAAACCAAGATCTTTCAAAAATCAGGTGCTGTTATTCCTTTAAAAAATCTATAAATAATGCTTATTGACAAGTGTCAACTACACAAAGTCATTTTTTCCTTCTTCATTCACATTTGGAACACCCTAACTAGACCCTGTCTGTGGACATCTACACATCACATTCACTGCACAAAAAGAACAACTGCTGTGTTTGCCCCTTCTCAGAACCTCACAGAGCACTTTGTTTTTCCTTCACTCCTTCTCATTTTCCTCTCTTTTATCTATAACATAAGGTGGAAATTTAAACACACACATAATTTTGACTTTTCCGTCTTAGAACTAACTGGAATGAAAAGGAAATAAATGATGTACATTTAAATAATATTTAATGCAAAGGAGAGGGCTAAGCAAGAAAAGAGAACTCAGGGCCTTTCAGAGTTTGTCTCAGGCTTGTTAATGGAGTAGAGCCAGGCTGCTAACCACTGGGAGGGAGAAGAAATCCTGAGTCTTCAGAATGAGCAAGAGCGTGGGCTTTTCTCCTCCACAAGGAATGCAGTCTGCAGGAGGCTTAGCATACTGGGTCCAGAAAATGCATGCTATGTCTGTCTGTGCTAGGGCCAAAGAATATCAGCCTGGAAATCTGCAAACTGAAGAGAGAGATACAGAACTTAGGAGTA